ATTCAATGCCCAGCAATAGAGAGTTGATGTCCAACGTTCAGGTCCATTAACACCTCATTTAACGCACAACAAATCCTCCTATAAAATGCTGGCAGGTGGTTTGCAACAAACACACGTTCTTACACATTCACAAGCAATCATACACGTATTTTACCACTCAAAAACACCTTCAGCTCTCTGAAAATCTCCCATGTGTTCTGCTATAGTTCCAGTTCGCCGGGATTTTCGTTTTTGTGCTCAAATGATCGTTCGTTAGCCACCGTATCCTGGGAAACGGTCATTGCAACGCTCCTAGCACCTGCTCCTTCTTATTTCTGTTTTTCTTTAGCTATTTTATTAATTAATTATTTTTATTAATTAATATTTCTTCGTTTTTCCGAAACACATCCAACACAAATGTCGGTGTCCCAATCACAACTAGCTCAGCTCGCCTGTCCCACAAAGCGACGTATTGGACATGTCTGAGTGCCCAATCCTCCAAATGCTTCTCACGCCTATCCAACCTATGAAGCTCTACATAAGTGTCGATAGGTCGTGGAATGACCTGCTCAAACTCAAACTGTCGCAAGACTCGATCAGGCAAATGAAGCTCAACAATGTCAAAACATATCAACGGCACACATGCTCGCCATATGTGACTATGCTCTCGTCCAGGTGGGGGCAACTCTGCAAACATCTCAGCTGTATACGGCATCCATGTAATCTGTTTTATAAAGATACAAAATTAGTATTTATGCTATACATATTATAGCATATTTTATAATACCCACACGATGCCTGATCCTCAGACATCCGATCAAATGCATCCATGTACACACCGAGCCCAGTAACGGATGACATGCGACTTAGACCATCAATAGCCATCTAACGATTCATGTAATCGTTTCATTAATATGGATATTATTAATATACTTACATTCAACATACAATAACATAAATACTAACGATTGAAAACATATCGACGGCCTAGTGGGTCCTCGCCCCGTACATGATGTGGTCCCAGAAGACGTGGAGGCTCTTCACGGAGTGGATGTCCATCAATGCCATGATATGCGACTTCAAGGGGACGCCCAATGTGGATATACTCCCATGACCAAATCTGGAGGAGTAGCAAAAATCCTCCAAGCTCTGTGCTCCCTCTATGGCAGCCACGACACAGTTGTCTGTAGAGATAAGCCAGTGTGGCACTACCCCAACTGAACTGTGCTGCTACATCAAACCTCTCTAGCATAGGAAATTGCGGCACCTGAATCTCATTTCCGCTCTTGTCAGTGAAAATGGAGGCTCCCATCATCATCAAGATATATGCCCGCGCATGCTGCTGGATCATCACCTCATCAGCGTCCGGATGAAGCACCTGGAAGTGCTCCCTCAACCGTGACATCCTCAGGGATGACCCCTGAAGGTCAGTCCGAAGAAGGGAGTGGACACCTAACAACCGCTCACACTCATCTACCCACTGTCGACAAGCAGTGCCTGTAACAGCTCTGCCATCAACCTGTAGCCCAGTAAGTACAACAACATCTCCCAAGGTCATTGTCACCTCACCAACAGGGAGGTGAAATGTGTGTGTCTTCTGCCTCCAACGCTCAAGAAGAGCGGTGAGTAGCGCTCTATCGAGAGGGACAGTAGCCACCAATCTGTGAAGACCATGAAAACCCGCAGCACGAACATATGCAAGTACTCTGTCGTCCACGTGCATATGCGACAAACCTCGCAGGTGCTCGCGGCACCTATCCACCCGAACATCGAGGCCAAGCCAAAAATCCTCACTCCTGTGTGAGGCCTGCAATGTCAGCACAGAACGATCACTCGGCCCAGGATCCGCTGTCACCTCCATGACTATAAACAAACAATTCTTAATTCGTATTAGTTAATTTTTACTATTATACTAATTCTTTTTTTTCTAATTAATTTTTTAATTAATTTTTACTATTAATTTTATAATCGAAGACAAATTACGTTATACACATACGATTCCCATCAATATGAACATTAACAAATTCATAATCTTCATTACAACAATACAACCAAATTCAACAACCAAATCAGTACCCACATACAACCACACAACACTTAAACATCTGCTAATATATCCTACTTCCCAGCAAGATGATAACAAACAACCCGAACCACACTACATTCCAGGAGAAAGTCCCATTGCCTTTCTTTGACATCTTAGGTTCCACTTCCATATTGTGGAGTTTCAAAAGACCAATCTCACGAACACAACTCTTGATTTCAGCTTGCATCTCTAACTCTTTCATCCGGAAATTCTCTTCAACATTGGTAACCTTCTGGAGCAAGGTCTCTATCCGTCTCAGGCAAGTACCACATTCTTCATCCTCACCCCATTCAAAGAAATCGCACTTTTGACAACTCAAGAAACGACCGCACCCATAAAATCTTTTCCCCCTGTTTTTGTCTGTTGTTGCAGTCCACACCGGTGCTTGGAGTCCACAGTCACACCTCTTAATTCCCCTTCTTGCATCCATCGACCAGGACTCAGCACTCGAAGAACTCATCGGCGACTTACTCCCCTTTCTTTTTTTCCTTCACCGACGTGTTAGGACTGCCTTAAACAAGAGGCTGGATGGTTTTAATAATTAAGCAGAAAAGAAAAGCCATGTGTATATGCCTAAAAGAACCATTCCAAATTTAACCAAAAAAATGATGCCACATGTAAGGGCCGGTGCCCCGGGTGAGATAACGGAGTGAAATCTTCATTTAGATATCGAGTTTGTCTTCAAATTTTCAATAGAAAAAACTACCAAAATTCTAATATATCCAAAAGTCATAATTCACAAAGAACTCACATTTGACTATGAAAATACCCAAATTTTGATATCTACATTCAAGTCTACATTTCAAGACCCAAATTTAGCTAAATTCAAATCTACCTAAATGCCCAAATGTCAAAATACACTTTAAAATTTCAACAATCAATTTAAAATCAAATTTCAACATTTCATACATATCCACATTTCACAACAACTCAATTCACAATCAATTCACAATCAATTCACAGTCTAAAAATTTGAAAATTTTAACATTCAAAATCCTAAGTTCAAAATGAGATGAAATGAAGTTTGATTTACCTACAAGAAAGAAGAAAGAGTGTTGAAGATGAAGATGGGGATTTGCCGGAGTGGGGTCGCCGGAGATGGAGGTTCGCCGAAGCTCGGTCGTCGTTCCTCTTCGTCGTTGCGGCTAGGGGATTCAGGGGATTGGGTTTGCGTCTTTCTGTTTTGTTGGCTCGCCGACGTTTTTACTTAAAGAAAAGTCACCCAACCGTTGGGCGACTTACCCCGACCATGGTTAACCCAACAGTATATTGGTAAATACTTTTAACCCAACCCTATTTTCGTAATTAATTAATTAATTAACATTAATATAGAAAAAACTCCTTCCACTAAGGCCTAAGTTAAAAAAATTAACAAATTTTAAATTTTCAGAATTTTAATTTTAATTGAAGCAATACAAAAAGTTAAACGAGGCCTGAGTTACCCCCACAATGTTGTATAGGAATAAGGGAAATCAAGGCGAGTTACATTAACTAAGAGCTCGTTTGGTAATACTCAAATGGACTGCATTGACGGATTCTGATGAAATTTATAAAATTTTGGGTGAATTGACTGGATTGAATGATCTGGTGATTTATGAAAAAAGTACTCCCTCCGTCCCTTAAAACTTTGCCAAGTTTAACCGACATGAAGATTAATAAAGTAAAAATTATATGGTTGATGTTTGTGCAGACGAGAGAGAATTAACTCGAACCATATATTCTTTACTCAAAAGAGAAAGTGTCAAAGTTAGTGGCACATCCAAAAAAGGAAAATTGACAAAGTTTTAAGGGACCGAGGTAGTATATCAAAATATATTTTATTAGTTGAATAAAGAAAAAATGTGTGAAAAATAGATAAAATGATCCTTTAGAGTAACTTTAGCCAATACAGACAAAAAAGTAACTTCAACATTATTTTTCTTATTATTAGATAACTTAGCGCACGAAATCAAAAGTTGCATGTTTGGTAAAAAAAATTGACTCACAAGGTGAAAAACAGGATTACCAAAGAGGCTTATAAATAAACGACTCATACATACTTTAATAAAAAATTATTAACATGAATGATCAATAAATAAATAACATAAATATACTCGGCAATAATGTGATTAATGTGACTCTTACATTTTAGTGGTTATAAAAGTACGTCTAATGACCATTACATTCAATTTTACATCTCAGTGGTCAGGATTATATAATCATAGAACCCTTTGTCATGTTTAAGGAAAACCTTTTTATAATATACTATCATTAAAAATTATTTTACTGCCTACGTAAAATTATACTCCCTCCATCCCATTATAATTTCTCATTTTTTCTTTTCCATCCGTCCAGCTAAATTTGTCACATATCATAATTAGTAATATTTGTAAAGCTATAATTCATTTTTATTTTATTCATACTTTATCGATTCATTATGAATCACATAACTCTACTTTCCTTAAAAGTTATAATCAGGTGCAACTCTAATATTTACACAAGTAAAGCGAGAACTAATACACGCTAATATTTCACAAGAACAATTTAAGGGGTCAAAAATTGATGACAGATCTGAGATGAAGAAAATGTGAAGCTAAGGGTTGACAAAAGAACCAGATTTGGGCTACAGGGGATGAATGCTAGTCAAGCAAGAAGGATTTCAGATCAAAGGTGTTGCTTATTCTCCCTTGATCTGATTTTGACTTTCTCCTCCTAAATCTACTGGGCATGTGTGCATTTGACATATCACTCTAATTTGAGACCATTTGCATCTTTTTCCTAACTTTATGGCTCCATGTATTAAAATATAATGATTAGTTATGTCCATAGCATATACATCTATCCTTGCACATGAGTGCTCTTTCTTTATGATCCATTTTTTTATTCTGGCCAGCTAAAAGAGCAGCACATAGGGACTCCTAGATAGAGACATGAAGAAAGGGAAGGGATCCACAACTTTAGTACACACACGTGCATAAGATTAAGAGACATATCAACTCAATAATGCATCCACAAAACTTCTTAGGTTCATACAATAAAGAAGAAACGAGGAAGATACCCATCCACAAATATTTCAAAGCTAAACTAACAATATCATGGTGACAAGAAAATGAAGACAATTATTCTCATCCATAATGTCTGTTTTTGAGCAAATCACATGGCCGGATTAGATCACATCCAAGAAAACCATGCCTACCCATCCAAGAATCGTGTGGTTATGATGGGAAACTAACATGAATTCCATGAATTAAATCCAACAACGGCTATCAAGACTAACATGCATCAACTTAGAGATAATGAACACATTTTTAAAGATGACAATTAACTTAATGTATCTATAGCAGCATCAGTATTATTTTACTATTATTATTAGTAGCTGATTTACTCCGTGGAGAAATTCATGCCTTTCTCCTAGCTTCTGACAGTCAACAAAGAAGGAATGGAATCCAAGTTGGGAGATGGATTTTTGTTAGAAGCATCTGTTTTCCCAGAGGATGTCTTACTGAAAGCTCTCATTGGACTAGCAAGTGCCCATCCCCAATTCTTGATCCTACCATGAGCCAGCTGATGATGATGAACCGCAGATGAAGATGGTGTTGGTTTCCCTTTCCCATTCTCTTCAGAAGAAACCCAATCTGATGATGAAGATGAAGAAGCAGATATCATCATGAACCCACTAAAGATTCCTCCGCATTTCACTCTTTCCCTTATGCAGTCTTGCCCTGAAGAAGCCACGCTGTTCCTGTGATGGACAGATTGGATTTTGGGCTTTCCTTCTCTCTGAGATTCAACCCTTCTTAGTGTGCAATCCCCAAAACCAGTTGAGATTCTCTCAAAGAAGTCCCCTGAAAAGCTTCTGCTTCCACACCCAACAGATCTGGACCTGGACACTTTTCTATCATGTTGGGCTGGGGCAGTCTGATCGGAACCCTCCTCATTCTCCTCCACCACTACGAAGCTGTCTCTTTTCTTCTCTCTAACCCCGACTGAACCACTCACAGATGCAGATGGGGAGGAAAAGCTTGCATCTTTAACACTAGTCTTTTCAAATTTCTTGGATGTTGATGATGGATAGTAGAGAAATGACCAGAAACCCCTTTTCCTGGGGCTATTATCTTCACCGTTCTTGTCAGTTTCCAAAAAACTTAACCTGTTTCTTGGAGTGGCAGTGGATTTGCTTCTCTTGAACACAATAGCAGAAGCATCACTACTGCTACTGCTACTACTCTTCTTCTTCCTCCTTCGGAAGGGCAATCTTGGTTTTCTGATGGAGGCAAACTGATGAGGGTGGTGGTTGTAGCTACACTGACTGGTCTTGTGAGCATGCAGCGATGAAGTAGGAGCACTGGTGGTAATTCCTGGGCCACCAAGATCAGATCTAAAAGAAGGGGTTGATGAAGAAGAAGAAGATGGGAAAATGGATGAAGGGAAAGAAGAAGAAACCAACTTCCCAAGCTTTTCCTGGAGACAGAGAGCGCAAATCCCTCCTGGGCTGCTGCTGTTCTTGTATGGATGGTTGGTGCACTGCATGCTGCTACCATCACCCATGTCTTCCTGAATCCCTTCCATCACCATATTTCTTCTTCCAAAAAACCACAGCAGGGGTACTTTCACAGACACCTAATGACAAACACTTGGTGTACACGATGCAATTACTAGTTTTTCTTGATTTATACAGTAACACATGCGGTGTAAGATTGACTTTCAATGGAAGAAAGAGGGGCAAAGATGGTCAAAGGAGGAGTTAAATGAAGGAAACAATATACAACATTGAATCATCAATCAAGGGTAAGAGATAGCAGGCAGGGATGGTAGTCCCCAGGAGCACGTGGAAACCTGACTACCGGATATGATTAAGGGAGTTTTGGTCCCGTATAGCTAGCTTGTTCGCACAATGGGAATTTATTGCATTATTTTATTTAATTAAATACTCCTCTGTTCCTATTAAAACTTTCAACTTTCCTTTTTCATCCGTTTCAATTAAAACTTCTACTTTCCCTTTTTAGTAAAGAATTTGTGGTTCACAACATTTCTTACACATTTCTCTCTCCTCTTCACAACTCTCCAACACATAATACTCATTATCTTAAATTGTGTGTCAAACCTATTTGAAAGACAAAATAGGAACGGAGGGAGTACTCCGTATTTAAATTGAGCACCGGGTTTATTGTTCAAATGCACCTTCGGCTATTTAAAGATTGTTACCTATCTAATACACACTGCGTATTTCACTAGTCGGCTTATCTAAAAGTCCTATATTCTCGAGTTATATCGGCAATTTTTAAAAGTTTTTCAATTTCTTTGATAAATATTTTTTAAATTTTGAATACACGAATTAACTTTTTTTTTAAACAACCAAAATATTACTCCCTCTGTCTCTCTTATATTATCTCATTTTACCTTTTCGGGAAGTCCCACTAAAATTATCTCATTTGGTAAAATTTGTGTGGTTCTAAATATCCTTACTTTATTCTTACTATATCAATTAATATCAACCACACAACCCTATTTTTCTTAATAATCGTGTCACTCTCTTCCAACACAATATAAGAGGGACGAAGGTAGTACATAATACTACCTTCGTCCCATTATTTACTTCCGTAGTACAAATGGCACACGGATTAAGAAAGTGAGTTTTGTGTGGTGGAGAGTTGTGAAGAGGAGAGAGAAATGTGTAAGAATTGTTGTGAACCACAAATTCTTTGCCAAAAAGGGAAAGGGAAGTTCTTTTGGGGACGGATGAAAAGGAAAAGTTTGAAATATTTTCAGGGACGGAGTGAGTGAGCAGATATAGCGAACCGAAGGAGTTGAGGGATTCTTGCTCCGTCCCGCCATCAGAATAAAATTCTGATGCAAACGAATCTGTCTGTCCCCTGATTCACTTATAAACAAACTGCTTCCAAAATGAGCACAAGATTTGGTATTAGTTCATAACAACCTTCGTCTTTTATCAAGAGCTTCTAAGAAGTATATGGGTTGGCAAAAGTAAAATGTGGGATGTTGGTGAAGATGATTTTAGGAGCATGGAGGATATAGGTGTACTTGAGTTTGACAACTTCTCATAAATGAGCCAGAATTCAAGGTTGTGTTTTTGGAAATATGTATTAAAATTTTTAGAATATTGTTTTTTACCTTCATTATTCAAGAATTTTGAGTATTTGTATTTTTTATTTCAAAACTACGTTTTTTTACTTGTTTCTCATTTTAAATTAATGATTTATTGATTATATTTATATTTTGAATAAACTAGTGTATATGAAATAAAGTGTGAATTTATTTATAAATATCTTGATAATGTAAAATGGTTCAATACCATGAATGGGTAGAGTTAGAGGATATTATATGTATATATTTTCAAAAAAAAATGTAATTTTTTAATATTTATAAGTACACCTCCAAATTTGTTAATATCTATAAATACACTCACGTAACTTTTAATATTTATAAATATCTCACTGTGTCTGTATCCTACTTTTTTATCGTATCTCTGTACGCATTTCAGCGTACCTGTATCGGTGCTATATAGATTGTTATGTGCTTAATAATCAATTTTTAAAGGGTACAAGACATTTTTACTTGAATTGTTTGCAGTCTTAGACAAGGCAGGACTAGAATAGACCAGATCATATGTAAAGATATCAAATCAATCTTGAACAGATTAGACCAAACAAAAGTTCGATAGTTAGATATGTTATATTAGATCAGACTAGATCATATTAGACTAGACAATACAAAAAACAAAAAGATCAACTAAAAACATTCTTAATTAAAAGTGGAACAAAGTGATAAAAAGACTATTTGATAACCTTTTCTTTTATGAAATTTGACCGTGTTTGGTAAAATTATGAGCCATTTCTTTTATTAAAGGGAAAAGGGGCAAAAAACCCTTCAAGTTGTCACCAAAGGACACTTACGCCCTTAAACTTATTTTTTGGGCAAAAAGCTTTAAAATTCCCAAAACTAGGGCAACCACCCCCTTTATGTTTGATGGTAACTCCAATTAGCAGATCGGCAACTAAAGAGTATTAAAGTTGCTCATTTGGATTTTCAATATATAGTACTACCTCCGTTCCTATTTTATCCTCCAACTCACATTGGCACACAATTTAAGAAAAGTGGGTATTGTGTGGTGGAGAGTTGTGCAGAGGAGAGAGAAATGTGTAAGAAATGTTGTGAACCACAAATTCTTTACCAAAAAAAGAAAGTGGAAATTTAATTGGAACGGATGAAAAAGGAAAGTTGGAAGTTTATTTAGGAACGGAGGGAGTATATTATAATTTTATTTATTAATAACTAATTTTATTAATTAGTTGAGTAATACAGAGTATAAAATATAAATAAAATGATTAAGACGCTGTTTGGCAACACTGTTTTTCAACTTATCAAGTTTATCAATCAATTTTTTCACCAAACACGTAACTTTTACTTTCACGCGCTGAATTGTGTAATAAGCTAAAAAGTAAGGTTATAGTTACTTTTTTAGCTTTATTGGCTGAAGTTACTGTAGATGGCCATTTTAGCTATTTTTAAATATAATTTTTTCTTTATTTTATTAATAAAATATATTTTAAAATTATTTTTTCTTAAATTAGCAGAATCGGCCAATGCAGCCACTTCAGCCAGAACTTCATAAATTTCAACAGAATCAACCAAATCAGCCGATTTTGTGCTACCAAACGGGCTCTAAAAGTACGACTAAACCATAAAAGCCATTAAGATTTGTTCTTTTGATCTGTGATCTGAATTTTTTAAAAACTGATCTGATTTGAATTTTTCTGATCCGGATTGATTTGAATTTTTCTGATCCAATTTGATTTGAATTTTTCTTATCCGATCTAATCTGAATTTTTCTGATACGAAATAATAACTATACAAAAAAGTTATTAGTAATTTGAAAAAAAGTTATTGCTCCGTAAAAAAAAGATATTAGCAATTAAGAACGAATTGCTTTGCATTATGATTAGAGCTCGTTTGATAACACTAAAATTGATTTAATCGGCTAAATGTATGGAAATTTATCAAACTCTGAGTGACTCAAATAATTGAATCTATTGAATTACATAGAAATAAAATTTAGACTATATTTTTATTAACATTTTCTAGGTCCCCTATCTTTGTCCCATTTTACATTTTTCATTCATCCCATTAAATTTGTCGCATATCATATTTGTGAATATTATAATTATTTCTTTTTTTATTCATATTTTATCAATTCAATAATAGTCACACAATCACAATTTTCTTAATAAACACACTACTCCCTCTTATCTCATTTTTAGGAGGGGTGTAGTATTATTATAAAGAAAAAGTGGGATGAAAATGCTAAAATAGTTGACTTTAAACAATTTGATTCAATTTAATCCGAAAAATAATTTCAATCTCACTTACTTTAACTATTAAACAATTTATCTAAGTTAGTTGGTTTAAAATAGTTTGACAAAAAGATTGACTGATAAGCCGAATCATATGCTAACAAACGGGTTTGGTATCATATTTATATATCAAAATATAAAGTGTTTTAAAGGATCCTATTTTTATTTTACCATATCAAATGGGCTCTAATCCTAATATGGAGTAATTCTTTACTAATAGTTTTATTTATATTTCATGTATTTCAACTAATTTAAAAAATTAGCTAATAAATAAATAAAATTAACTCAAAGGAGCAAGTTTGACAGACAATAGTTCCGTTAAGTTCACGTACTGTGACTTAACTCACTTAAGGGTGCAATTGCCCTCCAATGAGAGATTTTTAAGATTTTTGCACTCAAAAAGAGTTTAATAACATAGATGCTCTTTGGTGACAACTTAAGGGGGTTTTTTGCTCCTTTTCCCTTTATTAAATTTGTCTCATAACGTTACAGGCGTGTTTGGTAACTTATTTTTCGTTTTAATAATCAATCTTTTTATTAAAGAGCTTTTTTCTAATATCCATTTTGCTAATCTTTCTAAAGTGCTTTTTTTCACACTCTAAATAGTGCAATCACCCCCTTTTGCTCATCTTTCTAAAGTGCATTTTTTCTAAGGTGCGATTTTTCATCTTCTTTATTACTCCTATTTAAATATGTCCAATAACTCCAATAAGTGGTTTAGAGCTGGTTTGAATATTGATTTGTTCCTTATTATGTATTCCCCTCGTCCTATAAAACTTTTCCAATTTTTCTTTTTGGATCCTCCCAAAACAAATCTCACTTATCATTTTTGGACAATTTGTGTTACTCACGTTCATTTTACTTTTTTCTTAGACAACTAATCATACATTTACACTTTACACTCTCACCTCCTTAATATGCATGTCAAGTCAATGTGAAAAGAATTTTGTGGGAAGGAGGAAGTATTATTTTATTATCATGTGTAGTTTCAGTTGAAACTATATACACGAATTGCTAGGAGATTGAAGTATTTTTGTTTAATTACTATCGAAAGCATTCTTTCCCTCGTAGATTTGGTTTTCCGAGAGGGCATCTTTTTCAAATCATCTGCCACACTATTAGACCACTTGCAGTGGTGTAGGATTAGGAGCCCAAAATGTTAAACGTGGAATTTTTGGACTCTTAATACCTTGTTGTGTTTGACTAAATGGAGGAATAAAAATGAAGAAGGGGATGGAGAGGATTATCTTTGAAGGGTCTCAATGTAAGGGCAAAATAAAAAAGGAAGAGGGAGGGTCCGCACCTGTTGTGTGGAGAGGGGAATTGTTTGACAAAGTGATATCGTGTTGATGTCATCGTTGCATTATAATATCCCAAGTTTTTTAGAACTTGAATAACTTTTTTATATGTTCTCCAAATTTTTCAAAATATATATCAAAATTCATAAAATTTTATGATCTATCATATGACACCAATATGTAATCTATAAAATGAAACAAAAAAATCTTAAATTTTAACTGTTGAAGTTTTCTTCAGTATAAAAAATGAAGAAACACAAATTTTTAATTCATAGAGTCTTCACAAATAAGTGACTATTTTATAATCGAACATTACTTGAACAAAGTTCATTATTTGTTAACCGAAAAACATTAAAAAATTAATGAAATTTAATTATTTTTACTTCGAAGTGTGTATTTTTTATTTCATAATTATTCAGGAAAAAAATTAAAAGAAAAACATTACTTATAATAATTTTATTAATGTTTTACTAAATTAATATGTAAAAAATGTGCAGAATGTATTTTATTGACGGTGCTGGAATGCAGAGAAATGGAAGTCAAAACATCGTTTTCATATGGACGGAGTCCATTATTGACATTTAGACTCTCACACCACTCCAAATGGTCTTAACGACTCATACTCTTCCTGAATCGCAATCATTGATTGGTAGTATGATTCTATATTTCATAGTGATGTGTTCCAATTGGAATAATAATCATTGGTGTTTTGTGAGGCGCAACATATCTACATATCCAGTAAAATC